GAAAGAAAAAAAATTGCAATGAAGAATTATATCTCCAACAAAACTGTCCATCAAATATGACAGCTAAATTAGGTCATTTTCAGACAAACAGAAATCAAAAAAATTTGCTAAAACCAGACCAATCTTATAAAAAATACTAAAGGGAGTTCTTTGGACGGAGAAACAACAACCTGAGACTACCATACCTGGCCATATCAAAATGTGCAAAGTAAAACAGACCTACAATAGAGAACCCGAGGTACAGTTGCAACAGAAACAACATAAAGTAAAAAGAGGGAATAGCATAGTTATAGAACTTCCAAATGAAGAACTGGAATTGATTTTAAGAAAAAAATTAAGTAAACAAATAAAAATAAAGTCTTGATGTCACAGGACTTCAGGTTTATTTTTATTGCAGACTGCTAATTGCAAGGTTGGTGCTGTAGGATAATCACTGGACTGCTAACCTCAAGGTTGGTGGTTCAGACTCACCAACCACTCCTTGGAAACCCTTTACTGAGTTGTTATGAGTCGGAATCAACTCAATGGCACTCAACAACAACAAATGTAACCCCCAAAAAATAGACCAAGCCCTACTCCCAGCCCAACCCAAGAGCTAGTCATAGTTCTAACCCTAATCCTCACTCCCCCAAAAAAGTCCTGTGGATCATAACAGAAGATTGTCTGATCTAGTGCTAGAAGATGAGCCCCACTGGTTGGTGGGCACTCAAAATACACAATGGCTGCAACACCGGAATTGAAGATGCCAAGGACTGTAAAGATGACCTAGAACTGGGCAGCATTTCATCCATCCTGTTGTATGTGGGGCCACAATGAGGTGGAGTTGATTCAATGACAACTACCAACAACAGCAGTATGGTAGTGCAGTGTCTATACATTGTGTCCATGCCTACCAGGGGACAGGGGCAGGTCTCCGAGAGACACAAACAGGAATTTAATCTTCAAGCAACAAGTGTGTTTTCCTCTCTCGGCTTCCTAGCATGCTTGTGACCACACACAAGTGAAACCACTTACTACTTAGGTGATTTTTGGACAGGTTACTTAACCTCTCTGTGCCTTCGTTTCCTTATCAATAAAGCAGACATACCAACAGGGCCAACTTCATTAGGTTGTTGTGAGAAATTGCATGAGGTAATACATGTTAAGGACTCAGACCAACTCCTGGTTTATAGCAAGCACTTGTTTGATTATAATTATGATTATTATACATGCGCTTAATTTCCAGCTTGAACACAGGGAAATAAAATCATGCTGTGCAAAATTACTGCCCTTGTAAAAGAAATCTTGTTTCTGTTTACACACTGAGCTATAGCTTAAATATTCCCTCCAGGTTTCAAAGAGGAAGATCAGATATACAGTACACAAAAGGAAAGGCAAATTTACAATAACCTTGCAGTTCTAACTACTGAGAAAGTTTAAAGTACAAAAACTTGTCTGATTTCATTAGATGTTGTAAATGGCATGGAATGAGGAACATTATCCAACTGGAGCAAAATCACTGTATGAGTTTAGTTAGCATCGCCACTTTCAGGAAGGATGAAGAGGGGTGGGGAAAGTGGTTCAGTTCCATTGACAACAACTTAATTCAAACCTTGGTTTTGTTTGTTTTATTAGCAAATTGTATTTTCAAGCAAAACCCCATTTGTTGCAAGAAATCTCCTAGAGAAGCTTTCTAGGCAGATCCAAGTGATGGAGAAACTCGCAGCTGTCAGTGATGAGAACATAGGAAACATCGGTTCTGTTATTGAAGGTAAGCAGCTGCAAACTCTACCTCCATCCATGCAAATGATGGCACCACTAGCTCACTTCCCTGCCTGCATCTGTTCATTACTTTATCAGAACAGCAACGAAGAAGCATTCCTCGACCATAGAATAGGAAAACATTTCCACACTAGTGTGATGTCGTGTGATGCTCAGCCATTTGAGCTAATCTATGGAGCCAAAGCTGTGTTTATAGAAACTCCCAGAAGTTAGACATTAAGGACTGGAGAGGAATAGCTAACACCTCATAGGCAGACTTTCACAGACTACTGGCACACTTCCATTGGTGGGCAAATGATCAGAATTGGTCATGTCCATGGAGCTGGCTAAGACAACTGTGATAGTTACTGGCCGTTTCCAGTTTCCAAACCCTACTAGGAAAAGTTCGAAATACGTGAATTTGAAGTCCCGTAGGAGAACCCTGGGACTGCTGATACCACTGGAGGTTAAGCACTAGACTACTAACCACAGATCAGCTGTTCAAACCCACCAGCCATTCCACAGGATAAGGATGAGACTTTCTGTTCCCGTAAAGATTTGGGGACATGGAAGCTCCATATTGGGGACCCTCCCTGATCTCATGCTATACAAGGGAACTTCAAAAAGTTCATAGGAAAATTCTATAATCTTTTCATTCCATTTTCCCACTCACTTTTTGAAGCCCCCTCGTATAGTTTTATTACATCAAGGAGGAAACAACTTAAGAGTGTGTGAGAGATCTTCAAAAATTTCGTGGAAAAGTAGAATGAAAAAATAATGGCATTTTCCCATGAACTTTACAAAGCCCCCTTGTAATCCTGAGGAAAAAACACTGAACACGTGTCATAGGCTGGAGCGGCTCTTCTCTTTCAGCCATTCCGGAATTCCACAAGAAGCTGTCGTTGCTCTCCTTCTGGACCAAGTGCTGCAGCCCAGTCGGCGTGTACCACAGCTCAGCCGACAGAGTGATTAGGCAGCTGGAGGCCAGCTTTGCCAGAATTGTCAGCAAAGAGTGCCCAGGACTCGCAGACTCAGGTAAGGCGAGTGGCAGGGACAGCATTTCTGACCCTAGGTGTGACAGTGAGCATTGCTGGGGCTCCCTGCCACTTCCTCTACAGTAAAACCCTACTCTCCAGGGTAAACATCATCAAGGACAGCAAGTTAGAACTGAGAAAGCAAAGGTGTTGGACAGGCTTTAATTCAGAATAACAGCAATGATTATGAAAGTAGTACATTTCTGGGGTAGTACTGAGAATGGATATACTTTTCATTAAAATGTCTCCAGTTTGGAGTGTTTAAATGGTACAACCACCTCACAAAATTATTTGGTAGAGTGCTGGTGTGGCGCTGTGGGTTAATGTGCCAGACTGCAAAGCTATTTGAACTGCAAGGTTGGTGGTTCAGCTGCTCCTTGGAAACCGTATACAGGGTCACTATGAGTCAGAATCAAATCGATGGCACTTAACAAGAACAACATACAGCAATTTAAGTGATTAGCAGTCATCTGGATGAATGATTTCACAGTTATTTTGTGGAATAAATGTAGCCAGAAACAAAAGTAAACACTGCATAATTTTAATTTAGATGAAATTCAACAACAAACCAAACAAACTGATGCTGCTGGAAGTCAGGCCAATGGTTCCTTCTGGTAGCTATGATGGTTACAGCTACACTGGTTACATCTGGTCACTGCTAGGTAATGGTTACCCATTGTAGCTACAGACTAGGACAGAACACAGAACACCTTATGAGGTGCTGACCACGTTGTCTGTCAGCACCTCGTAAGGTTTTCTGAGTCCCATCCTAGTCTGTAGCTGCAAGTTCATATATGCTGTTGTTATTTAGTGCTGTCAAGTCGGTTCTGATTCATAGCAACCCTATATAGCGTTTCTGAGGAGTGGCCGGTGGGTTTGAACCACCAACCTTGAGGTCAGAAGTCCAGTGATTATCCTACAGTGCCACACCAGTATTCCATACGTATACATATTATGTTGTTGTTAAGTGCTGTAGTGTTGGTTCCGACTCATAGCAACCCTGATAGGGTTTCCGAGGAGTGGCTGGTGAGTTTGAACAGCTGACCTTGTGGTTCAAACAGACCTTGCAGTCGAGTGCTTATCCTACAGCCAGCGCACCAGGAGTGCTGTAGAATATGCACAGATACATATACATGGGAACACGGTGACTCCATATGGTAAGCATTGGAACATGAACCACAAGGTCTGAGGTTTGAGCCCACCAGCTGTATAGTTGTTGTTAAGTGCCGTCCAGTCTGCTACAACCCATAGTGACGCTGTATAGGGTTTCTGAGGCTACACATCTTCGCAGGTGCAGAAAACCTCATCTTTCTCCTGTAGAGCGACTGGCAAACTCGAACCTCAGACCTTGTGGTTCATAGTCCAGTGCTTATCTTCTAGAACCACCATGCTCCTAATATATCTATGTAAATTAATTATCCACCTGTGAAGTAAAAATCAGTTCACTTAATTCATTTTCCTCTACATGCCTTATACTACAATAAAAAGACAAATAAATTATGAATTATAATACGCATGGATGGATGGTTATGTTTCTTCAAAGCTGCTTCGTGTCTTCCTCTTGCAGTGTTTCGGACCCTGGTGTCCCAAATCCTGGACCGGGCTGACCCTCTCCCCGCCTCCAGCCTCTCCCTAGAAGTCATCACTGTTTTCCAGTATCACAGCTACTTTGCCAGCCATGGTGTGAGCGACCTAGAGACTTACTTGATCGAGCTGGCCAAGCAAGGTAGGGCATGTTCTTTTATCACACCGTGCTGGTTGGTGGTAGCTCAATTTTTAGCTATTTCTGATCTTTTTAATCATAGTTTTTAGTGAGGGTAGCCTCTACCACCCCACCCCTCTTTCACCTCCCCGCAACAATTGAACTGAGGTTTGTATTTTAAATGACTTCTGGACTTTTGCCATCAGTGAGCCTCTTGTTAACGAATCAGGATTTACTAAGAACCCCAGTCACTCAGCAGAGGTATACTATTAACAGAACGCTAGGCAATGATTTAGGACGTCACTGTCATTTCTTTTTTCCTTCATTAATGGATTTGCTATTTGTAGGTTCAAACCTACAGACAATACTAATTTCGATTTTCTTTTTTATGAGGCTTTCATAATAATAGGTAGAAATGGGCTCCACGAGGCAAGTGGGGTGACACAGTGGGAAGGGAAAGGAAGAAGACGTGGAAAGCCAGCTCTAGGGAGAAAGGACACCATGTGGGGGTATGACAATGCAGGTCAACACTGACTGTGAAGAGGGCGCTTTCAATGTTACAAACAAAATAAGTATCTATAATGCATGAAAAGGAGCTCTGCTAGTGCAGGGGTTACAAGTTGGGCTGCTATCCTCAAGGTCAGCAGTTCGAAACAACCAGATGTTCCACAGAAGAAAGATAAGGCTTTCTGCTCCTGTAAAGATTAACAGCCTCCAAAACCCTATGCAGGGTCACTATGAGTCGGAACCAACCCCACAGCACACCATAATGCCTGAAAGAGTCCCTGGATGGTACAAATGGCTAATGCAGTCATCTGCTAACAGAAGGGTCAGAGGTTCAAGTCCACATAGAGGTGATTTGAAAGAAAAACTTGGTGATCTGCTTCCCAAAAAATTAACTGTCGAAAACTCTATGGAACACAATTCTAACCGATACACACAGTTCTACTCTGTCATGAGTCACAGTCAACTGGATGGCAACTGGTTGATTGAATGAGGGAGACCTTCTTGGGATTGGAGCGAGGGGCTGTTTTCTGGTTCCCAGCAGGATAAAAAGGATGAGGAAGAATGAGGTGTGTTCCTTGGGAGTAGGCAGAGGTTGGCGCTGAACCAGCAGCAGCAACGTGTCTGGCACAGACTCAGGCTGAATGAACCCTTCTCTTGCCAGAATGTTAAACCCTGTGACAACATGCTCACCACATTGGTTGGCATCACAGTGAGAGGAAGAAAGTCATCCTTGTCTTGGCACATCTCCAGCAGGGAAGATAGAAGCCAGCCCATGGCCTTTGCGTCAATTCTGATTCATAGAGACCTTGTAGAGCAGAGTGGAACTCCCCGCTAGCATTTCAAAGGCTGTAGATCTTTATGGAAACAGACTGCCACACCGTTCTCCTGCAGAGACACTAGTGGGTTCGAACCTCTGACTTTTCAGTTAGCAGCCCAATGCTTAATGCACTGTCACACCAAGGTGCCTATATATCCCCTTTGTTGTTGTTTTTGTTGTTAGGTGCCGTCGAGTTTGCTTCAACTCATAGTGGCCCCGTGTAGGGTTTCCAAGGAGTGGCTGGTGGGTTTCAACTGCCGACCCTGTGGTTCGCAGTCCAATGCTGATCCTACAGCACCATACCAGGAGTCCATATATATCCCCTTAGAAATTACAAATTGGTAGAGAGGATTAGGAATAGAAAGTCTAGAAAGGAAGACTCCATTTTAAAACCACAAGGTCTTATTTCTTGTGATTTCGTCATTTCTTCATATTAAATTTGTCACAGTCTGAGTCATTTTTCTGAGAAAATTGCTATTGGAGAACACCTACCTCTAAGCCTCTTATTACATGGTTCAGGAGAGGCCCACTCAGTTCCCAGTAAAATGGGAATGACAATGAAAATCCCTAATCTTGTAAGTGCTTATTTTTTTCTTTCATTATGAAGGGAAAAGACCTTTCTTGTAGAAAGTTTCAAAAACATAGAGAAGCATAAAGAAAATAAATTCAAATCACTCCTTCCTCCACTGTTCCAATCACTCCTTCCTCCACTGTTCCAATCACTCCTTCCTCCACTGTTCCAATCACTCCTTCCTCCACTGTTCCAATCACTCATTTCTCCACTGTTGAAATCACTCACTTCTCCATGGTTCAAATCACTCACTCCTCTACTGTTAAAATCACTCATTCCTTCCTCCACTGTTCAAATCACTCATTCTGCCACTGTTCAAATTGAGTATGTGTTTCAGATGACTGGGTATGACTTTCATTTCCAAAACTGATATGGTTGCATCCTGACTTTTTATTTGGCATTATGTTCCACATATTAGATTTTTATTTATTATTATTATGTATTAGTTTTATAGTGTTTCTCTATTAGGATACTCATAGGCAGACCGTATTGTTGAACAGATGTGGTTTTGTGTGTTATTTTTTTCAGCTGTGCCTTAGCTTCCTAATGTTGCTATGACAAAAAACGTTGCTGTTGTTGTTGTGTGCCGTGGAGTCGGTTCTGACTCATAGTGACCCTGTACAGTGTTTCCAAGGCTGTAAATCTTTAGAGCAGAAAGCCTCATCTTTATCCTGCAGAACTGCTGGTAGTTTCGAACTGCTGACCATGAGATTAGCAGCCAGATTTGTAACCACTACGCTACCAGAGCTCCTTATGACAAAAACATACTATGGCTTTAAAGAACAGAAATGTATTGTCTCATGGTTTTGGAGGCTAGAAGTCCAAATCAGGACATCAGCTCTAGGGGAGGGTTCCTCCTTGTGAGTAGCCCTTGACTTTCTTCAGCTTGTAGCTCGTCACACCTGCCCTATCGCGCCCTCCGCCCCCCACCCCGTGTATATATGCATTTATTCTGCTCTTTTTAATAAGATACCACTCAAAAGAGTTTAGGTTTAAAAACGACCCTACTCAGTGGTGGCAGTTATGTGCTATGGAGTCAGTTCAGACCCATAGCGACCCTGTGCAGGGTTTCTGAGGCTGTAAATCTTTATGGGAGCAGAAAGCCTCATCTTTCTCTCGCGGAACAGCTGGCAGTTCCAAACTGCTGACCTTGTGGTTCACAGCCTGATTCGTATCCACTACACTGTATGACCTCATTAATATAACACACGAAAACCCCTATTTTTGACCCGAGTTTTATTTACAGGTCCAGTGGTTAGGATTGCAACATAATATTTTGGAGGCTACAAGGCAAACCAGAACAAGCTGTTAAGAGAAAGCTATAATCAAGTCAACTTTGCCTCATGACCTTACATAATACTATCTCAAGATGGTTTTTACCAGGATGGTTACTTAGGAAACAGTGAAGGTGCCAGAACATCCATAATAGAAGAAGTAGGAAATTGAAGCAGACAATCGGTAATGCATAGCCTGGTCCATGTGGGCACAGTGCTGCTCTGTCGATAGAACATGCACTTTAACTTCTATCTGGGCAAGCCACGCTCTCATCCTGGTGTTTTTGTGACCAATGGAATGCCCGTACTGAGTATCTAGTTATGGATTAGTGTTTTCCTTAGTTATGGAGTGTGGTCAGTTTGTCTCATTGAGAACCAAACAACAACATCAACAAAAGCCCAAGTCTGTTGCTAGTAAGTTGCTTCTGACTCACCTTACATAGGGTTTCTGAAGACTATGAATCTTTACATGAGCAGACTGTCTCATCTTTCTCTCATAGAGGGGCTGTGGATTTGAACACCTACCTGGCAGTTAGCAGCCCAATGCCTAACCCACATCACCACCAGGACTGCTTCAATGAGACTCAGGGCTTTATTATTTACCATTTGTGTCTATATTCCAGCCAGTTTTCTAGACTTCTCCATCAAGGCCCAGTTGCCTAAGTAGAGACAGAGCAGAATTGGGTTCATCCTGGATTAGAGTTTTGCCAGACAAGCATGACTAAAAGATGGAAAGCCAATAAAGTTTGGTATATTAGGAAAATAATTATATAAAAAAAAAGTTTACTTGTATTTTTACACTGTATACTTTTGTATTTTATCATTTAAAAGTCTGTAAGTTACTTTGGAAGCCATTATGAGTTAGAAGTCCATCGTTATTTTTTCACATTTGATTAACTACTTGTCTTATTGCAGTTATTTCAGTAATCTGTCCTTTTCTCACTAATTTGAAATGCTTAATTTATCATACCTACTTGCGTCTGTGCTCTGGTAGCGTAGTGGTTACGAATCGGGCTGCGAACCTGCAAGGTCAGCAGTTTGAAACTACCAGCTGCTCCACAGGGGAAAGATGAGGCTTTCTGCTTCCGTAAAGATTTACAGACTTGGAAACCCTGTGCAGGGTCGCTATGAGTCGGAACCGACTCATGGCACTTAACAACAACAACTTGAGTCTGTTGTTACGTGCCTACTTTCTGTTGTCATGTATATAGTTTCCTCCATGCTTATTTGTATTTTTAATGGCCATGATACAAACAGGTAACATACTCAGTTGCTAAACAAAAGATTGGCAGTTCAAGACCATCCAGAAGTGCCTCAGAAGAAAAGCCTGGAAATCTACTTCTAAAACATCTACCATGGAAAACCCTATGGAGTACAGTTCTGCTCTGGCACATGAGTCAGACTGGGCTCTGAAGCCACAGGTGGTGGATCTTTACTGTCAGAACATGAACTCTGTTTTTTTCTTCCTTTCTAGTTGCCATGGTTCAGACTCTGCCTTCACTAAGAGCTGACAAACTGCTGCAGACCATGACTGACCTTGCAGCTGGCAAATTCCCAGCCCAGCAGGAAGTGCTCAGGACACTGGCTCTGCTACTAACAGGAGACGACAATGAAGTTAGTGAGGCTGTGACACTTTCCTTGGCAGCAGCCTCCAAAGACAAGCACTTCAGGGAAAAGGTAGGACACAAAGTCATGGGCATCAGACTGAAGGTACATTTGATTTTCTACTAACTTGGCATTTGGGCCATTGGCTGCCATTGAGTTGGTCCCCGACTCATGGCAACCTCATATGTTACACAGTAGAATTGCTCCATAAGGTTTCCTTGGTTGCAGTCTTTACAGAAGAGTAAAAAAAATGTTCTATTTTTAAGTCAATTTTAAAGTCAAAAGCCACCACTCCTTGGCAGAGAAGAGGTTATCTACCAATCCCTCTGCTCTAATTGAATGTAGGGCCTACAGCACAGCCCCCTCTGCAGCCTGTACATTTGAGGTTCCAGCTTTGTGCTGTAGCTGTTAGTTGGCAGGGAGTGGATTCTGACTCATAGCGACCCGTCATGTGCACAGTAGAACTGCTCCAGAGGTTTTCAAGGCTGTGGACTTGCAGAAACAGATTGCAGGCCTGTCTTCTGAGATACCCTGGGTAAGTACGAACTCCAAGCCTTTAGACTAGTAGCTGAGCACTTAACCATGCGCGGTTATAGAGTTGCTATGAGTCCGAGTCAAGTCGGCAACAGTGGGTGGGTTTTTAATGAAACGCCAGACAGTGTGCTGTCACTTACCTATCTTATCTCTAGCCAGGTGGGTATTCATTTCTTCCGCTTAATGGATAAGGAAACAAAGACTCCAAGGAGTTAAACTTGGCTAAGGGCATACTTTGTTAAGTAGCACTCCCTGCCACCAAGGCAATTCCGACTCATAGCAACCCTCTGGGACAGAGTAGGACAACCCCATAGGTTTCTAAGGTTATCATCTTGATAGCAGGCGCTTTGGAGAGGGGCTGGCGGGAGGCCGGACACACATCAGTCACCTAGTTCCTTTTACAGGGAGGCTGGCCCTGGATGGCTGTCCTAGTGGGATTTGCCTCAACCCCTTTTACTGCTCAAGGAGTCCTAGTGGTGCAATGGTTAAGAGCTTGATTGGCAACCAAAAGTTCAGGCTTTGTGCCCACCAGCAGCTCCCTGGGAGAAAGATGTCACTATCTGCTTCAGTAAAGATGTACAGCCTAGGAAACGCTATGTTGTGTAGGGTTACTAGGAGTCAGAATGGACTCCGGTAGTGGGTCTGGTTTGGTTTTTCACTGCTCATTCCCACGGAAAAAGTGTTAGAGGACAAAAGGCAAGCCAGAGAGGGACATGCAAAGTCAAAGCCTGGACTCTACCTACTCAGACCAAGTATACCTAAGAGCTAGTTACTGCTACTGCTATAATTATAACCAATCCCGTATAGCTCTGCTTCCTTTAAGAATGGGATTGCTTACCAAGAGCATTAAAAACAAATGTCCATGCAAAAACACATACACCGATGTTCATATCAGAATTATTCATAACAGCCAAAAAGTGGAAACAAACTACATGTCCATTGACTGAAGAATAAATAAAATACAATATATTCATACAACAAAATACTTTTTGTGTTGTTGTTAAGCTATGGTTCCGACTCATAGCCCCCCTGTATAGGATTTCCCAGAGGTGGCTAGTGGGTTTGAACTGCCGACCTTGAGGTTTGAAATCCAGTGCTTATCCTACAGCACCATACCAAGCATCCCAATGATTTGGGACATAAAATGAAATCAAGTTCTGATAGCTACTGCAGTAGGAATTAACCTTGAAAACACCGTGCTAAGTGAAAGAGCAAGCAGATGCATGTAAATCAGGGGTGGGGAATCGTTTTTCTGTCCAAATTGATAACATCATTTGTGGGCCATAGAAAATTGCCAACTTAAAAATTCATCTGCTATGTTTGATCAAACATTTAATTAACTCATCCCTTTGAACTGCAAGGTCGGCAGTTCAAGCTCACCAGCTGCTCCTCGGAAACCCTATTCAGGGTCACTATGGGTCGGAATCGACTCAACAGCACTTAACAACAACAACAACAACAACAACAACAAAGTGATAGAGCTCTGGTAGCATAGTGGTTACGAATTAGGCTGCAAACAGCAAGGTCAGCAGTTCAAAACTACCAGCTGTTCCGCAGGAGAAAGATGAGGCTTTCTGCTCCTGTAAAGATTAACAGCCTCAGAAACCCTGTACAGGGTAGCTATGGGTCAGAACTGACTCCACGGTACAGAACCTCCACCACCAATGTGATGGCTGGAACTGCGATTGCCCTAGCAGAGCCAGACCAAATGATTTTTTGAGCCTCATATGGCCCGTAGGCTGGATGTTCCCCATCCCTACATATAAATATATACATATGTATATATAGTCCTGGTAAGGTGCTGTGGGATAATGCACTGGACCACAAGGTCCGTAGTTCAAGTTCACAAGCTACTACTTGGAAACCCTATGCAGGGTCACTATGAGTCAGAACTGACTCAAAGGCACTTAACAACAACATATATAAATATATATGGAGTCCTGTGTGGCACTGTAGAATAAGCACTGGACTGCAATGTCAGTAAGAGCCGCAAGGTCAGTGGTTCAAACTCACCAGCTGCTCCTCAGAAACCCCATACAGGGTCACTATGAATTAGAACTGACTCAATGACATTAACACACATATTAGGTTCTGTAAGAAACCTACAAGACGCTAAGTCTATATTATATATTGCAGCTCCATCTAACCAGTCTGTTGTTACCAATTAAACCTGAGGGGTTCTTTCAAAGCCAGAACTATAATTTGTATAATTAGATTCCCTGGTAGAATATAAGGGATCGATTTATTTAATAAGCCAAACCTGTTGTTGTCAAGTGGCTTCCAACTCATAGTTACCTATAGGATAGAAAACTGCCCCATAAGGTTTCTAAAGCTATAAATCCTTGAGGAAGCAGACCGCCTCATTTTTCTCCCAAGAAGCAGCAGTGGGTTTGATCCACTGACCTTTTGGTTACCAGTTGAGCATGTAAGCACTGCACCACCAGGCTTCCTATTAAATAAACAGATAGCTCTTTTAATCAACATGAATTATATATTTTTATATATTTACAAATAGTATATATAAACTACTTAACTACTTAATATACTATGAGCAGAATTTTTTTTAGTAATTACGAGGGTAAGTCAAGAATCATCCACACTCTGGCTACAGAATTTATTTTAATCAACTGTAAGAAAGGAAAAATACATCATTTTTCTACATAATCTCCTTACTTGTCTGTCAAGAAGTTTCGTATTTCCTTATTAAAAAATGTTTTAAGCTGAACTGCAAGCCAGGAATGCATTGCTGTCTTCAGCTTCTTTATCAGAGGTGAATCTTCTCCTCAAAAGGCTGCTTTCAGGGGATCAAAGAGGTGAAAGTCTGATGGAGCAAGATCAGGTCTGTAGGGAGGATGCTTTAACACCTCAAAAGGAAGTTTTTGCAGAGTGTCAACAGTGTGGGCAGAGGTGTGGGGACATGCATTGTCATGCAAGATCACAGTCCTCTGCATTTAATGCAAAGTTTAGGCTTCAGTTCTTCTTTAAGCATCTCACTACAATAAGCACTGTTGATTGTTGAACCATTTCCATGATAGTATTCCAATACTACCCCTTGAGAATCCCAACAACTGTAAGCATCGATTTTGTAGCCGATGGTTGACTTTTGAACTTTTTCTTGGTTGGCAATTGAGGCTGTTTCCATTCCATACTCTGTGGTTTACTCTCAAGCTCACAGTGATGAATCCATGTCTCATGGCCAATAACAATTTGTTTTAAAATAAACCTTTACCTTCCTTCAAGTATTTTGTTTACAGATGTCCAAAGGCTTGTTTCTATTCTTCCGTGAGTTGTTTCAGTTCCCACCTCACACAAACTTCCCAAAACCTATCTGTTGTGGATTATTTCATAGGCAGAGCCATGGTTGATTTGCAAATGACTTGCCACATGATCCACTGTCACTTGTGTATTTGACAGAATCATTTCACATGCACACTCAATGTTGTCATCAACTGTGGGCGTGGACAGGCATTTTAATATGACCAGAGTGTGGATAATTTTTGACTCACACTTGTAGATTTTTTTGAAGATAGTAGCAATTGCTTTCACCTAATAAATCAATAATGGATTTTTCTTAAACTGAAGGTAGTGCAAAATGTCTGGTTTGATACTGTAGATCTCAGGAAGTAAAAATGGTACATATTTTTTTAACCACATGTCAAAGTGTCTTCCTGAAGTCCTCCCTTCTCTTTCAGGCCTTGCTCTATTACTGTGAAGTACTCACCAAGGCCAACCTCCAGCTCCAGAAGGCAGCATGTCTGGCCCTGAAAATCCTTGAGGTAAAGTCCAGCCTCAGAGTTCCTTCTCTCATCCACTCCTCTGCTCTTCCCCCATCCACACCCCCAGAGTTGTCGTTGTCATGTGCTGTGGAGCTGGTTCTGACTCATAGCGACCCTGTACAGGGTTTCTGAGGCTATAAATCTTTATGGGAGCAGAAAACCTCATCTTTCTCCCGCAGAACAGTTGGTAGTTTCAAACTGCTGACCCCAGAGTTAAGCAAGGCTAAAACCCATTGCTATGGAATTGATTCTGACTCATAGCAACCCCTTGTGTGTTGGAGTAGACTTGTGCTTCATAGGATTTAAGGACTTATTTTTCCTAAGTAGTTTGCCAGGCATTTCTTCCAAGGTGCCTCTGGGTGAATTCCACCCTCCAACCTTTTGGTTAATAACAAAGTGTGTTAACTGTTTGCACCACAGACTCCATTAAGCAGACAGTCAATCTTACTTTTGTCAGAGGGAGATATTCACAATGAAAGAGCTACAATAGAAATGAAAAAAGAAAGGGCTGAGAGTTCCCAACACGAAGGAATTTACCATTCAGTAAGCAAGATTTATTGTTTGAACTGGCTTCATCACAAAAATTAGTACTGGGGTGGCACCGTAGGATAAGTACTGGACTGCTAATCCCAAGGTCAGCGGTTCAAACTCAACAGCCCGCTCCTCAGAAACAAGCTATCCTATGAGTCAGAATCAACTTAGTGGCAGTTAACAGCAACAACACAATCGGTCTTCAGGACACACCTTACAATTTACTAAAATCTTGGACAGGCACATGGAACAAGAGGCAGGGGCCTGCAGGCCTGATGGGACAAAAAGAAAGAGATTAGCATCTAAAGCAAAAGTTAATGATCTGTGAAGAAAAATGGCTCTGGGAAACTTTATCTTCCTTGTTATTTTGTTTAAAAAATAAAAAAAAATTACCTTTAGATGGCCAAAAGGCATGCCAACCAACAGTGGTTGTTACTGTTTATCGGTGATTGATGCCTATGAGACAGCAGTAACAAACCTCTGCACCTGCGTACATCAACAAAGACATGAGGGGACAATGATCGATATGTTTTTATGGCTTTATTAGCTGCACAGTTTAATGCAGAGGGTCCAGTTTTAAACTCTGGCGTATCCCAAATCCAAGAGCATCAGATTCTTCCCCTTTGCTCGTTTCTCCTACCCTTGAAAGCACAGAATAGGATTCTTTATGCCACTGGAGACCTCTTCCTAGACAACTACCTTCTGCCCCAGCTGCTGCCCTGAACATGGTGTCAGGAATGAAAAACAAAACAGACTCATTCCACCAGTCCAAACCAACTAACATTAGCTAACTTCTTGGGGAAATAGCTTTTAAAAAGAACCATAACAAGCCAGTATCCCACACATTTCTTTTCTATCATCAGTCTGCAAACAACCTTGAGAAATCAAAGACTTCTATTCAAGTGTTCCTCAAATTTTGGGTCTCCCATTTGGTGTGGCACTATAGGATAAGCACTAGAGTGCTAACCGCAAGGCTGATGTTCAAACCCACCAGCTGCTCCTTGGAAACCCTATATAGGGTTGCTATAAATCAGAACAGAACGGAGCGGTACTTGACAACAACATCTGTCTAAATGGGCTAAAATAACCTACAGTCTACCTAACCTTTCCCTGGTATGGGTACAAATGGCTAACAGCTCAGCTGCTAACCAAAAGGTTGGAAATTTGAGTCTCCTAAGAGGTGCCTTGAAAGAAAAGCCTGATGATCTCCTTCAAAACATCAGCCACTGAAAGCCCTTTGACACACAGTTGTGGGGTAGCCATGAGTTGGAATCCACTCTTAGGTAACGGGAAACAAGTATCACTTACTCTAGTTTGCCAAACTCTAGCACCCACCATCACTACTTCCTGAGCCTAGAAAGACAAACAGAATGTGTTACCCTCTCTCAATTCCTCAACAGTCTCAGCAAGAGCATTTTTTGTCTTACAAAAGGCAGGCCTTCATTCTTCTACATGCCCTAAATATTGGTATTTGTAAAGATTCCATCTTAGGCCCTTTCTCTCTCCAACTTTTCCCTGGCTAAGCATCTACCTCCAGGGTTTCCATGATCATCTGCATGATGATGACTTCCAATAGCTCCAGTCCAAGTCTTCCCTTCCCAACTAGATATGCAGCTTTTAGATCTCTTCACTATGAAGGCACCTCAAATTCTATGCACCCATATACTCACCTGGATGTAGTCTTGGAGTCCTAATGTGATGTTGTAGAATAAGTACTGGACTGTTAACCACAAGGTTGGCAATTCAAATCCAGCAGCTGTTTAAGGCATGAGTCAGAATGAACTCAATGACACTTAACAATAACAATATGTAATCTCTGTAGCTTAGTGATTCATACGACCACTCCCCCAGTATTCATACCTGAAACCTGGGGACCCTCAGTGAACTTCACCTTCATCCCTCACTCATCCTCCACATCCAATCAGTCTCCTCATCCTGTAGATCTTACTTCCTTAGCAGCTCAAAGCTCTTCTCTCTTGTCTTCCCTGATCTACCTGGACGTCTGCATCTGTAAGCCTGCCTAGCAGCATTCCTTTCTCTTTACAGTCTGAATTCCCTTCAGTCCATCGTCTCCACTGCAATTAGAATGCATGTACAAACCAATATCCTGCTTAAAACTCTTCCTTGGCATTCAGTGACCTTAGAATAAAGTCCAAGACCCTTAACATGCCTTGTAAGCCTTCCTAGACCTGGTCCCTGCCACCTCCAAACTCATCTCTGGCCCCCTCTCTAGGTGCTGGGCCCTATCAATAGCTGCTCCCCTTGGCTGGAATTTATTTATTCTCCATATCCTCAGCCACTGTTACACTCACTCACCTACTGTGTGCCCAAACTTGACTAATTCCTCTAAGATATCACTTCTTCCATGAAGACTTCCCTAAACAGACCAAATTGTGCTTCCAGACTATTCTACCATGGCACCCTGACTTAGCCTAGCATAACACTTGTATCACTCATTGTAATTGTTACTTCACTTGTTTAACCATCTGTCTTCCCATGAGAGAGTAAACTCTTGAGGGCAAGGACCATGTCTTCTTCAGTGCTGAATTCCTCATGCCTCGTGCAATTTTGGGTACAACGAGGGCTAAATAGATGTTTGTGGAACAGAAAAATGGGAGAATTCCCCTTGCTGACCTTTATTATCTTCCTCTACTTTAGTGTATAGACCTAATATTTTTGTTGTTATTAAGTGCCAACGAGTCAGTTCTGACTTATAGCAACCCTATATAGGATTTCCAAGGAGTGGTTTGTGGGTTTTGAACCGCTGACCTTGTTGTTAAAATCCATTGCTTATCCTGCAGCATCACACCAGGACTCCTAAGCCTAATATTGTTGTTATTAAGGGTCGTAAAGTCGATTCCGACTCACAGCGACCCTATACAGGGTTTCCGAGGAGCAGCTGGTGGATTTGAACCACCGATCTTTTGGTTCACAGTCCAGTGCTGATCCTACAGCAAAAATTCTTAAACTAGTGCCCTGTTGAAAGCAGTGTGATATAGTGGAAAGAGTCAGGAGAATGTATTGTATTTTGGGAAAGCAGGCTAACGTCCCTTCCTAGACCCACAGTCCTGTGTGATGTGAGGCATGTAGCTGGTCATCCGAGCACCTGTAAACAGAAAGCCCGGGCTCCATCTCAGGAAATTCCAATGCAGTGTATCTGGACCGGAGTCCAGGAATTGGCATTTTTCAAGTATTCCATAAGTGACCTTGACATTCAGTTAGGTTTGGAAACTACTAGGTACGATGGGTTTTAAAGTCCCAGCCAGCTCTGAAAGGTTAAGTCTCAACGTCAGACAGAGACGTCACAACACTCTTGATGTGATTCTCCCTCGACAGGCTACAGAAAGCATTAAAATGCTGGTAACACTATGTCAGTCTGATACAGAGGAAATCCGAAACATGGCCTCAGAAACCCTTTTGTCTCTCGGTGAGTTCTTTCAGACAATTGTTTCTTTCTGACAGCTCTATCAGGAAAAGTTTTGTGTACTGTGTTATTGTTGTTGTTGTTATGTGCCGTGGAATCGGTTCCGACTCATAGTGACCTTGCACAGGGTTTCCAAGGCTGTAAATCTTTACGGGAGCAGAACGCCTCATTGAGTGTATATATGTGTGTGTGTGTTTCTTTTTCTCATACTTATACACATTCTCACATACACACACACAGAGTATAAGGAACTGATACATGCGCATCTCAACCCAACTCCTTGTACTCATTTTCTGGATCTTGAGAGGGAAGGTTGCTTTCCAGAGCTGGGTTTGGTGGGCTCATTACTCATTGCATAAGTTGGAATGAAGAACATAAATGTTAAACCATAAGTCAGAAGCCTAGCCATCAAGAAAGGTTAGACTCTCAGGTTGGGTTGGTATACCTGGAGGACAGAGATGCAGTCCCCAGGGAATTCCACAAGCCCCAGGTACCCCAGCCTCATTCTCACTCTCAGGTTAACCTCTAGTTGCTCCCTTAGACTGCAGCTCTGACACTAAGGAAAAGAATTTCAATATTTGTGATGCCCTGGAATATCTAGAGAACCCTTCTGTTTCACTTCACTTTTTAAAGGTGCATGCCTTGAAAGTTTCATACTTCTGTTTGGTGGAGTTCAGAGGCTAGGGGTACCCTTTCTTCACTCTGCATTCAGAAGTATAAATAGTTGTTATAAATAACTTTCCTATCACAACAGACTCTTTAAAATGTTAAACAAAAAAACTATACTGCTAGAAGTCTTCAAACATAATCCAGTCAATAATACTACTTGGACAAGAGCCACCCTGGTTTGTCTATAGGAGCTTAAAAGTGTGAGAGCGAAATTTATGGCATTTGTAATTACTATGAAAATCACATTCATTGTTAGGCATTCTTTCTTACAGTTACCGCTTTAATAAGACTTCTTTTTACTATTGAATATATCATTCGTTGCACAGAAATCTTAGCCAGCGTATGTTTGTTTAAAGGATAAAACAGTTATTCCTTATGGCTGTTTTAGGCATAGAAATTATTTCATTCTCTAAAAATGTACCCAGGGTGTTATTAATTTGAACTCCTTTATCCCTTGTTGTTCCAAAATAAAATGAAAGTAAGTCAAACACCTGTAAGGCATTGCCAACAATGATTATATTTCCAGTGTAACCTAAGGAAGCGTACCTTTACTGAGTATACCTCAAGATTCACTTCAGCTGCAGAAACAGCAGCATCTCCCAAACTGGCCACCATACCTGTTTCACCTTAGGTCTTTACACTCCTGACTCATCTCTCAGCACCAGATTCGTGTTCTCAACTGTGGCTGCACACCGGAATCACCAGGGAGGTATTAAAACACCCCCAAAGTTGTTGCTAGCTGCAGTCAAGTTGACCCCTAACTCATGGACACTCCATGCATAATGGAACGAAACATTGCCCTGCATACACTGTCCCCACGATTGGTAATGGATCTAACTGTTGTGATCCATCAGCTGATCTTTGGAAGCAGATCGCCAGGCCAAGTCTAGGTCTGCAAGCCCCACTAAAACGTGATTAGCATCATCGGAACACACAGGCCTCCACTGACAGACGAGTAATGGCTGTACCGGAAGCGCATTGGCCAGGAGTCAAGCATGGGTTTCCCACAAGGAAATGAGAATTCTACCACTGAGCCACCATGGCCCCACCCCACCCCACCCCACCCCCAGATTCGGACTTAATTGGTCTCAGGTGTGCCTTGGCAGTAGGACTTTATAAACCTCCCAAATTATTCTGATAGGCACCAAAGTTTGAGAACCCCTGGCTCCATGTTATTAATTTCCTTTGACCCGAGTACATAATACTGGTTCATTTTTGTCCCCCACAGAGGACTGAAATTACTACAGTGAAAATAGTTTTTACAAGGAAAATCGATATAAGGTGCTCTGTGATGAAGGGATGAGGGCTTGGATTTGAGGGGCTTGGAAAAACAGCTACTTTCCAGCTATTGTTTAGTGTCATTGAGTTGGTTCTGACTCTTAGCAACCCTGTATAGCGTTTCCAAGGAGCAGCTAGTGGGTTTGAACCACCAACCTTGCAGTTAACAGTCCAGGGCTTACCCTGCATGCCACACCAGGATTCCATTTTTCAACTAGTATGGAATCATTTCATAGTTTAAGCTGTCCAATTGAACTCTTGTGATGATTGTGATGTTCCCTATCTTCACTGTCCAGTACAGCAGCCACTGACCCCACATGGCTAGTGGGCATTTCAGCAGGACTCCTCATGTGGTGCTAGAATCAGCACTGGACTGCAAACCACAAGGTCAGCAGTTCAAATGCCCCAGCTGCTCCTTGAATACCCTATACAGGGTCACTAGGAGTCAGAACCGACTTGACAGTACTTAACAATAGCGGCAACTGTGATTGGAGAAGAGAAGTTTTAACTCTAGTTTTGATTGTTGCTGTTGTTAAGTGCTGTAGAGTCAGTTCCGACTCAAAGTGATCCTGTGTAGGGTTTCCAAGGAGTGACTGGTGGGTTTGAACCACCTACCTTGTAGTTAGCAGTCCAGTGCTTATTCTACAAAGCCACACCAGAGTTCCGTAATTTTGATTAATTTCATTTAAATTTGTAAATAGCTACATGTGGCTGGTGACTTTGGTAAACGATAGAGTAGTCTGAACAATGACTGTGGCCATTCCAGTCCGGCTGGCTGAACAACCACATCTACCTGACTCCCCAAAGTTCAGGCTGTATGTCCTTCAACAACCTGCTTACTTCACAGGACTTTTTTACAAGGACTAGAGGAACCAGCACAGATCAAAGCCCACTGAAAACATGTGTGTGAATGCTCTTAGGGCCGAGCCCTGGTGTGTCACCATAGTGACAGTGAGCAACACTCACAGAGGGTTTGCTTTGTGCCAGGATCTTTTCTGGATCTGCATGGGTTAGCTCACTGATTCCCAGCAAGAACCCCATAGTCCTACTAAGAACCCCCAAAAAGAATCATGTTGTTGTTGTTAAGTGCCATCAAATCGGTTCCAATTCATAGCAGCCCTGTATAGGGTTTCCAAGGAGGGGCTGGTGGCTTTGAACCACCAAACTTGTGGTTAGCAGTTTGATTCTACAGGGCTGATTCTACAGCACCTTACCAGGACAGAGTTAGTTCCATATTAAAGAAGGGCATACTGAGGTATGCTGAGGTTATATAACATGTCCACTGATACCCAGAGCCAGTTGGGTTCTGAAATGAAGCCCTGACCTTCTAGGACACCTAGCTTCTGAGGGATGCTAGACAGTAACTTAATGCCTCTATATTGAAATCTGTCCAGGGGTGAACTAGAAACTGGCCAGGTTGTTGGTGGTGTTCTTAAGTGCCATGGAGTCAGTTCAGACTCACAGGGACCCTGTAGAGTTTTCAAGGAATGGCTGGTGGGGTTGAACTGCCGACCTTGTAGTTAACAGTCCAATGCTTATCCTACAGCGCCACACCAGCACTCCATACTAACGGCTTTTCAAATAGTGTTCATTAGCTGAGACAACCACAGGCGTGCATGTGAGGGAGCAGTCAGTGAGGGAGTCTGCGCTGACAGGCCTACCTCTGCTATTCCTTCCACCATCAATTGAAAAGGAGTTGTTTTTCATCTATTTTATACAACAGAGTTTTGTGTACAATTTCTTTCCACAAAGGTTCTCCAAACATCATAAAATGTTAAACACTATTGAACTAAGTGCGGAAAAGGTATTTGCCTCAGATAAGACAAGGCAAACAGAAACAATCAACTTACATCCCTAAAAATTAGGGGACTTTTGCTTATAGAAGAAATCACTGCAAGGTTCTTTTGTTATTGTTGTTAAGTGCTGTTGTGATAGTTTTGAATCATAGTGACCCTATAGAGGGTTTCCAAGGAGCAGCTGGTGTGTTTGAACCACCGAACTTGCAGTTCAAACTGACTTTGCAGTCCAGTGCTTATCCTAGCACCACACAAGTTTCTTTAAAGTAACAGGCAAACCTCTACTTTTGTATCTAATGTATTAACTGAAAAAGTTAAATATGAAAAAAAAAAAAAATCCAGACTTTTGGTTTATTGAAAGACTTCTGTTTTTAGAGACTAAAATAAATTCCAAAATCTCTTAACTGTATCCCTTTTCTAAAATCCATTCATGTCATTATAGTTCCAGCATTTCGTAATCTTTTTCACTTTTTGTTTTTCCTTCACACTTGAACATTGATTCAGTGGAGTTCTGATTGAGCACAACTAATTATTGTCATCTTTGTATCAATTATTTTAAATGGATGGAAGCTTGCTTCTTCTCCCTGGTATTAGCACTTTTACTTTTCTGGTTTCTACTCATGTTTTTAAAAACAGCAAAAAGGGAATGAAATCTTCCATCTTGGCTGTTCAAAGATGAGATAGTATTGACAAGCCTGACCTATTTGTTGGCACGGTCCCACCATGTACTTACATAACAGAGCCATTTTTCACCTGAAGTTTGAAAGCCTAAAGTTGACCTTTATCAAGTATCATTTATGTGTATCAACATCTAACGTATAAAAGTTATATCAAGGTCCACTGCACCGAAGTCAAGGATCAGCCATACTGAAATCCCTGGGCATGTGTGCATGGAGTCAGTTCTGACTCACAGTGACCTGTACAGGGTTTCTGAGGCTGTCTATCTTTACAGCAACAGAAAGCCTCATCTTTCTCCAAGGAGTTGTGGTAAATTCGAACTGCTGACCTTACGATTAACAGTCCAACTCATAACTCACTATGCAACCAGAGCTCCTTTCTGAAATCTCTTGTTGTTGTTGTTAAGTGCCTTCGAGTAGGTTCTGACCCATAGCGACCCTGTACTGGGTTTCCGAGGCTGTAAATCTTTACGGGAGCAGAACACCTCATCTTTCTCCCGCGGAGCAGCTGGTAGTTTCGAACTGCTGGCCTTAAGGTTCACAGCCCGATTCGTAACCACTATGCTACCAGTGCTCCTTCTGAAATCTCTAAAGCCCTTTAAATATAATCCCTGTGATTTCTCAGAAATAAATCTATTATGTGAAATTTCCACATGAAATGGTCATAGAACTTATACTCTGTTTTGTACCTTGGCATTTTCTTGGTATTTGGCATTAGCACAAAAGCTCTTAATCGTTCTAAATTGTTGTTGTTAGGTGCCATCGAGTCGGTACCAACTCATAGCAACCCTATGCACAACAGAAAGAATTATTCTAAATATGATCTAGAACCTAACCTAATTAACAATGCTGTTATGGTTATACACCATTGAGTCGGTTCCAACTAGCAAGTGGTTTTCTCTTACCTAAAATTAACATACCAAAATATGACGATCCATATCTGAACAACCCTATTAACTTATTGTTTATTACTATTGATTTGTTTATTGTAATGAAGTATTATTATCTGAGTGACAAAAGAAAAAATACAAATAGGTATTCATATTTAATGTTCTTTGTTCAGGAGAAGATGGACGGTTAGCTTATGAACAATTGGACAAATTTCCTCGAGACTGTGTTAAAGTTGGAGGTCGTCCTGGAAGCGAAGTTGCCACAGCCTTTTAATTACATTTGAACTCTGCCTAACAGCTAAGTGTCTTAATATCTGGCCCTTTTCCTCCGTATGGTGCTGTAATTTAGCTGGAAAGTACATAAAACTTGAAGAGTTCTGCTGAGGATGTCTGGAAATTTAACATGCTATGGAAAGAATTCAAAGGCCTATAACACAGCACCTATCTGCTTCTTCCTCTAGCTATTAGAATAGGGCTCCATATAATTCCATAGATTACATCATTGATTGCTTCAGACAATACATAGTAAAAGAGTCCGTCTAGCTAATGTGTATGGAATTTAAAAATAGCCATCTTTGTACTTTTTTGAAAGATCTTCTATTGTCATGTGATACTTTGATAAATATCATATGCCTTGCAGTTTTTCTGTCTTGTTCTCAGGGTTAGGTGAGCCCCTTGTTGTTGTTAAATGCTGTTGAGTCGGTTCTGACTCATAGCGACCCTGTATAGGGTTTCTGAGGCTTTAAATCTTTCCAGGAGTAGAAAGCCTCATCTTTCTCCCACAGAGCGGCTGGCAGGCTCGAAATGCGGACCTTGTGGTTTGCAATCCAGTGCTTATCGTATGGAGCCACTGCACTACCAGGTGATCCCCGTATCTCCTAATTTTACATTAAATACAAAGCACAAAGAAGAATTTCCCCAAATAAGTTGGCTTGCAGAACCTGATAAAATGGCCCATTTTAAGAGTTTACTTTTTAAATTTCATTTTGTAAGCTCTCTCTGTTCTCTGTGCTTAAAATTACAAAATCACACTTCCATTATGGTAAAAAGAACTACCTTATTATGATTATAAACCCATAGCCTTTTTTAAAACAACAACTCAAAAGCTTTAAGTTTTGTTTTTTTGTTTTTTAATGAGAGCCATTTTTTATGATACTCTTACCATCGGGGTATTTTGCTGCTAAGATCTATCAAAACCAAAAGTCATGGGCATGGACAGCTACGATGCCCCTTGATAGAAGTTGGAGGAATCCTACTGGGTGGGAATGGATTTCCATTCAAAGGTGGTCCTCACTTCTGTAAAAATGACCATGACGTCAAGAAGTAAGTCCTAAGGAATGATTACTGTCCCAGAGAAATCATTCACTGTTGAATAGAATTTCTTGGCCAAAAAGTTTAAACAACAGACCCTATGATTGCTTACGTATTAGGATAGTAAGTCTATCTCTTATTAAATAGCTTTTCTTCCTCTTCAGAGTATATGAGGTGGGGTATGCCAAGGTATCAAAATAGTATGTGTGAGTGAAATTTAAACTGTGGAATACCAACTGTTCTATGATGTGTATGTATAAAAAGTACCCTATAGACGTCACTTTAAATATTTACATTTTAGTAAGACTTCTCAAAAGAGCTTTCATGTCATTTCAAAGTGAAAATTGTTTGTCAGGCTTTCTGGCAAATCTGTGTTTCAACTGTGAAGTTCCAATATACATATTTGTAAATTTATAAATATTATATATATGCTGATATCAATTTTAAAGGTACATTGTACAGTCTGTAGTACTGTGAAATGCTTGAAATTGTTCTTTTTTATAGAGTCATATCACGGATGTTACAGGGCTATTTTGTTGGCTTGGTTGGGTTGTTCGTGCTTTTTAATATTTTGAATATTGCATGACTGATTAATTCCATGTCTTTTGTATTGACTTCTGCATTTTATTTTTGGTTGGGGTGGGAGGGGCGCTTTTAGCTCTGTAGTATTTGTATTCATCACTCTTTCAATCATGTATGTTAAAATAAAACTTATTTTTGAATTACAAGTTTGAGGTACAGAGTGTGCTCTTTTTTTCATACATCTTTCTTGGGTATTTACACAACACACTGTACTTCATTCTTGATTTGAGTTTATTTTTATCTTATTTTGAACTTTCTTTATCTGTAAAGGGGAGGGTTGTTGTTGTTGAGTGCCATGGAGTCAGTTCCAACTCACAGTGACCCTGTACAGTGTTTCCAAAGAGTGGCCAGTGGGTATGAACTTCTGACCTTGCAATTAGCAATCCAGTGCTTATCCTACAGTACCATATCAGGACTCCATAAAGGGGATTGTTGTTGTTAAGTGCCGTTGAGTCAGTTCCAACTCATAGCGACCCTTTGTAGGGTTTCTGAAGAGCGGCTGGTGAGTTTGAACCACCAACCTTGTGGCTCAAACCGACTTTGCAGTCCAGTGCTTATCCTACAGTGCCACACCAGGACTCCAAAGGAACTGTGGTAGCACTGTGGTTGCAAGTCAGGCTGCTAATCTCATGGTCAGCAGTTCGAAACTACCAGCAGTTCTATGGGAGACAGATGAGGCTTTCTGCTCCCATAAAGATTTACTGCCTTAGAAACCCTATACTGGGTCGCTATGAGTCAGGACCGAATCCACAGCACATAACCACCACCATCACCACCACCCCCTTAATAGATAATAATTTCCTCCCTATATATGTAATTGTAATATTCAGTTTTCTTTCAAAGCTAATTGGGGGGAAGGAGCTGTATTTGGAAGTTGTGATACCCATGAGCAGACTGTAATTGAGGCAAAAAGAGCTCTGATCCATACTTACGTGTGTTCCCAGCCAAAATCTACCAGCATCATCACACAAGAGTCCCCAACATTCAACACTCTGAAAGTATTTACTGAGTGACTCATTAAATACCAGTGATTGCTTTTACTAAATCACTAGTAAAAATAATTTCTCCTATATGGTTTGTTGCTGTACTGTTTAATAGAACTGCCTTAGTTAACTTCATACAGTTGCAAAGCAAAATTGTAAACCTAAATTTAGTAGAAAGTCCAGAAATTCTTATTGCATCAGAAAAGTAAAATGTTCCAAAGGGAGAAAAAAAAATTATTGCTGATATTATCCTGAAGAGTGTAGCTCTTACTAAATAAATATTACCTTCTTTGATTTTCAGAAAGTTCTAAGTACACTTTTTGAAGCGAAAAGTAGTTACTTACTAAAAACCAGATCTCTAAGTTTTCATTTATTCAACAAGTATTTATTGTATACTTACTGTGAACAAGGCACATGACAGGAACTGGACAGAGGTGGTAAGTGTACATGTGACTGGAGGAAGGCAGGGGTGTGTAAGCGACAAGAAGGCAGAGAAGTGGAATAATGGTTGTACAAGGTCAGGAAGAATGGTTGCTGTTGTTAAGTGCCATTGAATTGGCTCTGACCCATAGCAACCCTGTATAGGGTTTCCAAGGAGTGGCTGGTGAGCTTGAACCACCTAGCTTGCAGCTGAAATCAACTTTGTAGTCCAGCGCACTAACCCACAGAGCCACACCAGAACTCCAGGAGCAATGTGGTAAGGACAGAGATTTCACATTGAAAGAGAGTGGTCAAGGCCTGACTGAGAAAATTACACTTGGGGACTGAGCAGGGGAACTAATGAGATGAGCCCGTGGCAATCTGTGGGAAACAGTCCAAGGCCCTGAGGAAGAACCATGTGTTCCAGATTTCCTCGTAACTGCATTTCTGGTAACATAGTGGTTATGAATTGGGCTGCTAACCTCAAGGTCAGCAGTTTGAAACTGCCAGCTATTCCATGGGAGAAAGATGAAGCTTTCTGCTCGCGTAAAGATTTACAGCCTCAGAAACCAAGGCCACATAAGGCAAGTGGGTACAGTACTGGACAACATGGGTCTATATTTTCCCATTTATTCCAGTAATGTCTTTGTTTCATTTAAAACTGTTCTTTGTGAATTGTGTGATAGCTTACATGGGAGAACATTAGCTTTACATTCATCCTATCTTATATCGTTTCATTGCCACGGTTACAATCCCCTCCATGCATCATCAACCAATGAAAGGGTACACTCCGCAAGCCTGCCCCCCAGTCGTCAGCACACAGCCCCTCTCCCTCTCTGGGTCTAGAATTCCCAGTCCCTCCATCTCTCCATGTTATCATCTCTGCCTCCATCTCTGGCATCACTGCTTCCCTGAGTAGGGTCCCGCACTTCGCTCTTCTCCCTTGATGGTCCCTGGGCCCTCCGCTCCTGGACTGCAAAATCAACCACTCCCCTCCTTTTGCTACAAAATGTCTACCTTTACATTTCCAACCCTCACAGTCAGTCCTAATAGCAATTATTCACTTCCAGTAATGTCTTTTATAGTATACCGCGGCCTGCCAGAAGAATGACTAAATCTATCTTGGAAGGAGTATAGTCACAGTGTCCTTAGAAGTGAGGATGGTTAAGACTTTGTCTCACATGCTTTAGAAGCATGTTATCAGGGGAACCCAGTCCCTGGAGAAGGGCAGCATGCTTGATAAAGTAGAAGGTCCGTCAGCAAAAAAGAGGAAGACCCTGAGTGAGATGTACTGACAAGAGTAGCGGCAACATAGAAATGGTTGTGAGGATCCCATAGGGCCAGGTAATGTTTCATTCTGCTGTATGCAGGGCAGCCATGAGTTGGAACAAACTCAACAGTACCTAAGAGCATCCTTTATAGTACATGCACTTACATGCATGTGTAAACCCATGAATACAAATGTGCATACAGGACCCAACCAATGATAACATGTTGAATTTAGTTTTCACGTCTCTTCAAGCTTCTTTCATCGTTGATCCTATTTTTAACTTCCAGGCATTGATCTATTAGAGTACTGGCAGTTTTTTGTGTAGAATGTCTAGAATTTAGAGTAGATTTTAGAAGTAGAATCAATGGGGTTTCCTGATAGATTGGATATGGAATATGAAACAAGGATAAGTCAAGGATGCATCTAACATGTTTCGCCTGAGGAAACAGATGGCTAGAGGGCCGTCTTCCAAGATAGAGAAAACTAAGCAGCAGGAGGTTTAGGAAAGGTCAGTAATTCCGTATTGGGTATGCTCAGTCTGAGAAGCCTCTTAGACATCTGAATAAAGCGAAGTTGGAGACCGAATATAAATCTGGAGTTCAGACTGCTGTGATCTGAATTGTGAATCTGTGGGGTTTTATTTGATTTCCAGAAATGGATTGCCAGCCCTTTCTCCTTTGTCTGTCTTAGTCTGGACACTCCACTGAAACCTATTTAGCATCCTAGCAAAACACAAGCCTCCAGTGACAGACAGTGATGTTTGCACATGAGGCGCGCTGGCTGGGAAACAAGCCTGGGTCTCCTGAATGGAACAGGAGAGAAAATCCTACCTGTGAGCCACCAATGTGAATCTACAGTGTTGCTAAGGGATACATTCCAGAGTTCTTGAACTCTTGTTACCACCGGTGACGGGCCTGAAGTACCACTGGCCTTTTTTACACAATGGCTAAGAGCCCTGGTTTCTGTAAGAGATTTTGGACTCGGATTTATCAGTATTTGGTGGATTTATCTGAAAGTTTCCAGACATTTTGGAGAGTCCGTGTTAAAGGCTTTTTTGTTACCAAAAAGGAGGAAGAGTATATTACTTCAGCTGGGAGTATTTTTCACAAAGAAACAATTTTGGTACTAGGTCTAATGTTGAGGAATAAATCTCTAACCATAGAGAAGAGAGCTCAAGCTGCCTATAAAATTGGAATATTGGCCTTCACAGGTATTGATTCAACCCACCCAAAATGCGCTGCCATCGAATTGATTTTGACTCATAGTGCCCCCATATAAGGGTTCTGAGACTTTAAATCTTCATAGGAGGAGACAGTCTCATCTTTCTTCCTCTGAGTGGCTGGTGGGCTTGGACCACCGACCTTAGCAGCTTAACACCTAACCCACAAGGGTTTCAAAATCCCTTTGCTTGTTATAACACTATAATTTAGTGATTTTCGTAGCTTTAGTCTTAAAATTTCAACTACTCCTTTGTTTAATTATTTTGTTTTCTAATCTTTGCAACACCAAAGATATTGTTAAATTATTTTCTCTCAACGGTCTCATGTTTTAAAAGAACGTATCTGTTAAATAAATTACTAATTAAATGTTTTCCCATTTTATTAATTAAAAACCTATATATGTATACTGAAACTGCCTATCAAAGCTCTCATTATCATAAAAAAAATCAAAGATACTGAGAGTTGATGCAACTCAACTCCAACCTAGTGCTATGATTCCAACACAGAATAAAGCTAATTGGTTTTTACTTTTTATCTTATAAATCAGGGATGGGAACATCTGGCCTGTGGGCCATATTGTTGTTAAATGCCTTTGAGTCATTTTCAGCTCATAGTAATGAGGTCTGGAAATTCATTTGGTCTGTTCCTGCCAAGGCAACTGTTGTTCCTGTCATCATGTTAGGGGTGAGTTACTTAAATGTTTGACCAAATCTAGTAGGCTAATTTTTAAGCTGATAATTTTGCATGGCTCACAAATGATGTTATAAATTTTGGCAGAAAAAAGGTTCCTCACCCCTGTTGTAAGTAAATGTATTACTCAGAACACAAATTTTAAAATAATAAGAACTTAAATGTTTTAAAACACCTACTAGGAAAGCCAGTGGGGTCCTGGTATGGCACTGTAGGATAAACACTGGACTGCTAATCACACAGGCTGCTCAAACCCACCAGCCGCTTCTTGGAAACCCTATACCAGGTCGCTATGAGTCAGAACTGACTCCACAGCACTTAGCAACAACTAGGAAAGCTAGTAAGTTCATTAGTGAAAGATACTATTAATGTGTACTTGGTTAGGAAAGGAAATGGTAAACCATCTAAAATATACATTGTTCTAATGACTGTCAAATCCAGGATCACTCCAACTTTTTGTTCCTATGAAAATTCAAGATACATAAAAAATGCTTCAATAGTTCACAACACACGTCCTAATAAGAAGCTCTGGTTGGCAGCTACAAATGTCTTAAATGGGCTGATATTCTTTTTTAAATGTAACGATGAACTATCTAGATAACTTGATAGATGGAGTTCCTGAATGGTGCAAATAATTATGCATGTGGCGATTAACCAAAAGTTGGTGGTTCAAACCCAGCCAGAGATGTCTTAAAGGAAAGGACAGAAAATTCCACCACTGAAAACCTTATGGAGCACAGTTCTACTCGGACACACATGGGGTCACCATGAGTCAGAATCTACTCAACAGCAACTGGTTTGGGCTTTTTGTCGTGGTTGTTGTTTAACAGACTAAATATTTCACAAAGAATTGTGCCCATGTTTCTTTCATGTAGTAAAAGGGGCCCTTGGTGTCAAACGGTTGGAAACCCTTGTAAAAGCCAGAGAAGATACAGAAAGCTCAGGAGTTATTCCCACAAAAAGGTGTCCAATTCATGAAGAAGACTCATTCTCCTGTACCCACCATTGGAGAACCAAACTAGATGATTATAAAAGGATCTGAATCTTTTCCTTTGATGTTTTAAGCAAGTTCTATTCTAAACTGTCACTCCTTTAGCTGAGCTGGTAGGGAACAAGGAGAAGGTATATACCTAAACCTCAGCTGAAGTTTTACAGCTGCATAACGTATTCTTGGGTACATTGGGTTATGGTAGTACCAGTAAGAGAAATCTAAGCAAGATCAAAAGTCCAGTAGCTCGAATCTGGTCAACCATGCCAATCACTCCAACTATCTAAATAGTCTTCATCTAATGTCTTCTCGGCTTTTTGGAATTAGAAATTCACTTGAACTAGGAAGATCTGGGGTCCAGGTATATGGAGAAAGTTGAGTCTAAGACTAAGCTAGGTCAGTGACCAGAGAAAGAAAAACCTCATAAAGCCAGGTTGGTCCCAGATCTGCAGAAGAGATGGGTGAAAGATGTGGACATATTCTACAGTAATAACCAGCAATACATGAAAAATTTCTCTACAACCAGTTAAATCCTGGCTTTGCTTTTCAGCCTTTAATTTTCTCTTTGTTTACTCTAATACCCCAGTGCTCTTCTGTTTTGTTTTGGGTTGTTTTTTTTGTGGGGGGAAGGGGGATGTCAAACACTGAAGGCAGAGCATTGGGTGTAAAACCATGAGGCAGTCTTACTAGGCGAACACAACCAGGTTATATTACTTACTGCTAGGGGCCAAGTTAAAGGAACCAGGGAGGAGTCTATGTCAGACAGCGACCTTCCAGCACTTTTCAAAAACATTAAAAACCAATGTCACCAAGTAGATTCTGACTTATGGTAACCCAGATGGGTCAGAGTAGACTGTGCTCATTGCAGTTTTCAGTAGTTGATTTTTCAGAAAGAGATCATCAGGCCTTTCGTCCTAGGGACCTCTGAGTGGACTCAAGGCTTTCAGATAGCAACCAAGCACATTAACCCTGTTACCACCCAAGGACTCCAGCTTACACACTACTCCTCCCTTATCAACACATACTTTGTAGTTCAACATACACATCCTAGTTTTCTTAGCAGGAAAGTACCCAAGGTCTCACCTACCTAGCAAAAAGAATACAAACACAAATAGGAGCACTCCAAAATGTTGACTAGCAACTAAATATACCAACGGTCTTCTGGAATTGTAAATGCTTGTTTTACAGGAGGACCGAATGCTGGGAAATTCGCAGCTGAGTACATGAAAGAAGTACATGACTTACTGCAAAATCGTGAGATGGTGCCAAAGATAAAGATCCTGCTGCTCCAAAGTGTGGCATGCTGGTGCTACTTAAACCCTGTCAGCCAGAGAAAAGCCAAATTCCTGAAATTTATTCCTCTTCTCGCTGGTTTTCTTGAGGAAAAACTTGAGTCTACTACCAAAAGTGAAGCAAACAGCCACCTCCTCATTAAATTTTGGTCTTGCTATGTTCTCTCTGTCATGATATGCAATAACTTGTCTTGCATGAAAGCGCTTAGAGATTGTACCTCTATAAAATACCAATTGCAAGAACTGGCTATTGAGAATTGGTCAGGATGGCCTGAGAATTTTGCAGAGGTGCTGTATTTTCTAGTTGGTTTTCACAGGAATTGATTTCTCTGCACCATTCGTCTAGCTTGAAACAATGGAAATAAATCATAAAAATTGATATAGTGTTCATCAGTGGTTTCTTTTACATAGTTGAAGTGTTCTTTCTATAAGCTTTCCTAAAAGTAATCTAACCAAACTTTTGAAAAGCACCACTGCTTTAAATGACCTCAGAAAAATGAAGTTCTTAAGATGTGGATTCATTGGAAGATGCATTATCTGTATAACTATTAGGAATGATGGTGAATTTGGAGGGTGAGGAGGTTATTAGATGACATAAAGTCCTGGGCGGGGGGGCGGGGGTGCACTGTAGGAAAAGTTGTTGTTGTTGTTGTTGTTGTTAGGTGCCATCTAGTCGGTATTGACTCATAGTGACCCTTTGCACAGCAGAACGAAACACTGCCCGGTCCTGGGCCAACCTCAAAATTGTTGCCATGCTTGAGTCCATTGATGCTGCCACTTTGCCAGTCCATCTCGCTGGGGTCTTCCTCTTTTTCTCTGACTCTCCATCTTACCAAACATGAGATACTTCTCCAGCGACTGGTCCTTCCTGACAATATGTCCAAAGTATGAGAGATGAAGTTTGGCCACCCTAGCCTCCAAGGAGCACTCTGGCTGTACTTCTTCCAAAACAGATCTATTGGTTCTTTTGGCAGCCCATGGCACTTTCAATATTCTCCTCCAACACCATAAATCAAGAGCATCATTTTTTCTTCGGTCTTCCTTACTCATTGTCCAGCTTTTGCATGCATATGAGGTTATTGAAAATACCATGGCTTGGGTCAGGTGCACCTTAGTCCTCAAGCTGACATCTTTGCTCTTCAACACTTTAAAAAGGTCTTGTGCAGCAGACTTGCCTAATGTAGTACATTGTTTGATTTCTTGACTGCTGCATCCATGAGTGTTGATAGTTGATCTAAGAAGAATGAAGTCCTTGACAACTTCAATTATTTCTGCATTGATAAGAATGTTGTTTATTGGTCCAGTGGTGAAGACTTTTATATCTCAATTTAAAGATGCAATCCATACTGTAGGATAAGTATTGGACTGCTAACTGAAAAGTCAATGGTTCAAACCCCACCAGTGGCTCCTCAGAAACCGCTATGAGTCGGAAACCAACTTGGAGATACTTAATTAGATGATATTGGAGCACTGATGGCACTGAAGGATAAGACTAGACTGACAACCACAAGGTCAGCAGTTTGAGCCCACCAGTCACTCCTTGGGAGAAAGATGAGGCTTTCTGTTCTGGTGAAGATTTACAGCCTCTGAAACCCTATGAGTTGGAACTATGAGTTAGAACCAACTTAATGGACCTAACAATATTAGATGGCATTAAGCCAACATACTCAGAAATGCCAAATCCTAACTCAGCTCAGTCACCTCTTGTAGTAGGCACTGTTGCCCACCCATGTACTTTCAATAAAATAACCAAGTTATAGCCGAGGAGTTGATTCAAACTCATGATGACCCAATGTTTGTCAGAGAAGAACTGTGTAATACAGGGTTTTCATTGGCTGATTTTTCAGCAGGAGATCACCAGGTCTTTCTTTTGAGGTGCCTCTGGGTGGACTTGAACCCCCAATCTTTCCATTAGTATTGATCTCATTAATGTTTTCACCACCCAGGGATTCTCCATATCTACTCAGACTTCACTAGTTACATGCATGATTTCCAAATGCCGTCTCTTTAGCTAAGGGGACAGCCCTCAACTCCATGAGTTACAACTCTGGATGAAGACAGTGCTCTGTGATCAGGCACCTCAAGACAGCCCAAAGTCAGGCTCTTTCTAGCCTGAAGGTGGTGGTTATGTGCCGTGAAGTCAGTTCTGACTCCTAGCAACGCTGTATAGGGTTTCCAAGGCTGTAAATCTTTACAGGAACAGAAAGTGTCATCTTTCTCCTGTGGAACAGCTGGTAGTTTTGATCTGCTGACCTTGAGATTAGCATCCCGACTCCTAAGTAACCACTACACTTTCAGAGCTTTCTTAGTTTCATAAGAAGAGTTTTATTCTTCCTCTTCTGTCCCTTAAGAGTCCTGCTGTGGCGATGTATGATAAGCACTTGACTTCAAGGTTGGTTTGAACCAGCTGCTCCTAGGAAACTCTATACAAGGTCGCTATGAGTTGGAACCGACTCGACGGCACTAATCAGCAACCACAATTTTGTCTGCTAGAGAATATATAGCAAAATACCTGGACTTGAAGCTTATATTTCTCAGACTCATCAAATTTTATTTTTACAAAATAGAGTATTTACAGAAAAGTGCCTAAAGGATATCTACCTCTTTCCCTAAGCACACTAACATTTGCCCCTAACTGAAGCCCTAGCCATCCTAGATGAAATTATGCATTTCTACCTTTCATAAGAAGGCTTTGACTAGGCTGTGCTTTTCCACTTTTCATTGAAGGAGTTGTAGAAGGGAACGTCCTGGTCCGCATTTGTATTTGTTGTAGGGATGTGGTTAGGGATGCTAATCATATCATCACATGGGGTTCCCTCAGGAGGATCCAGGAGGAAATGTTCTCAGGCCTTAAAGTCAGGTCATTGGTGATCAGTGGTAAAATTCTCCCTGTCCATGCAGAAGACACAGAGTTGGCGGTTCAAACCCATGAGCTGCTCCTTGGGAATTCTATTCAGGGTAGCTATGAGTTGGAACTGACAACAAGGCAAGAAGACCCTGATTTGGTTGGACCACTTCCCCAACGGAAGCTTACGTGAGTTGTGGGCCAACTCAACATGAGCTTCCAACAGAATCGGGAAAAGCTCTGCTCTACTGAGCTCAAGGAGTCCTGGAGTGGCGCTATAGGATAAATATTGGACCTGGTGCTGTAAGATAAGCACTTGAAGCGCAAATTCTGCAGTTCAAACCCACCAGCCGCTTCTCGGAAACCCTACACAGGGTCGCTATGAGTCAAAACTGATTCCACAGCACTTAACAACAAATGAGCACATGTATATCTTCAACCTTTGTGGATGAATTGTGTAAGAGAATTTCTCAAACTAAAGTCCACCACTCTTCATAGTGTTAGATTAAAGAGTTGGAAATGAGATGTTCCATTTAAAGACAGACTCACCCTCAGGAATTACATTTTTATTTTTTGAAGCTAGACTTTTAATTTCATTAAACAAATACACAGTTTTAAAAGTCAAATAATAAGAACAAGAAACAAATGAACCCCTTCCTGATTCATACTCCCAGAAGCAACCATTCACGTTCTTTCAACTGTTGCTTCTATTGTGACTTCCATATTTCTAAATAAAATTCATATTCATTGCTCATTCTTGATTTCCTTTTATTTGTTCAATTTTGGATATTTTATTTTACTTCTTACTCTGGCAGATGAGGAGCTAGCATTCTAACACTGCTCCCTGTCTATCTCCACTTCTCCTTTCTCAGTATAATTTGTCACAATTTTTGACTGAAACATTTCAGTGTCTTTCATGGCTGTGACACATAGTATGATTTTATTTCTTTTCTTGTGCAAGTTTTTGCTTTCCCTAAAGTTGTTTACTCTCTTGTTTCTGCCTGTTGCTCAGTTTTCTGAGTTGTTCTAACTCAGCAACCCTTTATAGGGTTTCTCAGGCTGTAAATCTTTACAGGAGCAGAAAGCCTCATCTTTCTCCTGCAGCGTAGATGGTGGCTTTTGTGTTCTTTCTTGTGAGTTTCCTCATAGTTTTAATGTTTCCATGTTCTTCTTGGATTTTCATTCTCTTGGTATGTTGTGACGAGTTAAGTTTCTTTGAGGTTGTCTTATAGTCCATTAATTTTTCTCTC